TTACTTTTGTTATATAATATAACAAAATATAATACGTTTGTTATATAACTATTGGTGTTACTTTTTGAGAAAAGGAAGTTATATATAATCCATTCAAGGTTGATGAACTTACTGTTTTTCATTATTGATGAAATTGGGTAGGGGCTAGGTCCTAGGACAACTTGACATAACCATGTCAGTGTGGTTGTGTTGGCATGGATGGATTGGTATGGACAGTCTGCCTCTGGTGGACTGAACGCAGGATAAGCCCTGGCTCACTGGACACAGGGAGAACTAACCACTGCAGATGAAGATCAAGTAAGGAGGGAAAGGGGCACTTCCCCCCATCAGAACATCATGAGTATTGCGGGGGGGGGGGAGATGATATATGGGCTATCATACTCCAGTGAGTTGTATTCTCTTTTCCTCCCCATCCCCATTCTTCATAACTATAAATAAACTGTAATTTATTATAAATCAGGGGAAGGAGTATTTGTGTTCGTGCAACTTGGGGCCAGTGCATCCTTCTCCTCTTCCTCCTTTTTCTTTTCCTTCCTTTTCTTCTTTTCCTTCTTTTCCTTCCCCTTTTCTCTGGATTTGTATAACTGGGTGAGTGGGTGGGTGGGGGTGCTCCTTCCCCGTTTCAATGAGAATGATGAATGTGAATTACAGATTTATTTGTAGTTAAAAATCCTTATAAATTATAAATTCTTTGACAGCATTCTTGCTGATTGCATCAGGGTAGGTGGGAGGAAGAACCCCTTCCACTCATTCAGTGAGAATGCTGTCAAAAGATTTATAATTTAATATTTATAAGGACTGATTCCCATAGTGAGAATTGGTAAGTGAGCTCTCAGTGAGTCGGAATTGGAAGCAGTGGAATGCAATTTTCCATTCGTCCCCTTCCTTAATCCCTTCCTATGCCTCTCGCAAGACCAATTTAGTAAGATGTTTGCCTTGGCCAGATGAGTCAACATGTCTTTCATTAGAGGCAGGGGGTAAACATTTTCAATGCAGATTGCATTCAACCTGTGGTAGTCCACACACAGGCGGAGTGACCCATTTTTCCCCAGAAAAGTACAGGGGTGGCAATCTGTGATTTGGCAGGCTGTATGAACCCTTGCTTAAAGTTTTTAATCAATAAATGGCTGGAGTTCCTCAAGCTCCCTTGGAATCATGAAGAACAGCTTATTTGGGTAATTTGGCCCCCAGCTTTCTATGGAACAGTCTGTGGGACGATGAGGAGGAAGCACATCCAATCCCTTCTCACTGAAAACCTCTCGCAAGTTCCTTGGGGATTCATGGGTCCAGTTTTGAGTGTTCCCATGCCGCACCACGACTTCTCTCTTTGCCTTCTTGCCCAGCGGCATGAGGCTGAGGGTAGCTAGACTATCTTCAGATTTCCTTTTGGGGTCCTTTTACCGAATCTTAAAAGCTTCCTTCCTCAATTTACGTAGGGCTTCTACTTCAGAAACTATGCTAAACTCAGTACGAGGGGTCTCTCCATGCCTGGTGCCACAGTGAAGCTTAGGGTCTCTTTATGGGCCCCAATTTTCATCTCTGTTGGTTTGGTGACAAATGATGTGCCACCCCCCCACTATGGACCCATCTAACTGGCCTCCCTGAATTGCAAACCTGACTTCGCAACTAAACTAGTGCTGACCAGGCATTTGGTATGGCCCGAGTCCAGGAGGGCAACCAGGTTTCCCTTACGCCCCAAGGAAGTTGGCACCAGTTCTATGGGGATGGTTACAGGCAACTTACCAAGGGATTGTCATCAGTGTTGCTGTTGGAATCCTAAGTGATGCGGTTGGAGTTCTTGCACCATTGTCAGATGATGGGGTGATCTCAACGACCTCCACTCCTTCTAGGGCCATCTCGTGGGTCTTCTGGGTTGGCTTTCCTGGCGTCTTGGCAGGCTTTGAAGTGGCTTTTTGCAGCAGGTGCGATGCTCAGTAGTCAGCTTCTTGATGCCCCTCTTCAAGATTTGAAGCACCTGGTGGAATGGCCTGCTTCATGGTTTCTCTCTTATCAACCCAGCCTGGAAACACTCTATCAGCATGTCTTGTGGCCAGTCCTTTAAACTGCATGCCAAGTTGTGAAATTCTTGGTTGCAGACAGCCACAGGTTGCTGACCCTGGTTTATTGTTTTCATTCTGGTTCTGGGTTTGCAGTCAGTGAGGATCTTTGAACCTCTTTCGGAGGACTATCATAAAGCGATTGAAGTTGTGTAGTTCTGGGGTATCGTCATTGTGGAGTCTAACCATCTACTCTGCAGAATTCCTTTTCATGCTTTGAACCTTGGCTTCTTCAGTCAGCAAGTCAGCTCTGTACTCCTGCATCTACATGCAATCCTGGGTTAGGAAGAATGCCAACTGTTTTGGTTCTCTGTTGAATTTTACCCTCAAGACCGGTGATCTGGGCTCCCTTCTTCTTGGTGGAGTGGCACAGACTGGTGGCAGTGACTGGATGATTGGAGCAGGAGCTGGTGCCAGGGTACTGCAGCGGCTGCAGTGGTGGGCATAGCTGCGCCATTGTCTACTTGGTTCTGCGCTGGTTGAGCAGGTGGCAGTGCCATTCGAACTAGGGCTTCATGCACTTGGAGATTGTTGAAGGCCTCCTTCAGGAATTTGATAGTTTATTCAACCAGCACGTGCACTCAGTACATAATGGCACAATATGAAAATGTTGTGAATTCATTTGAATTTCATAATTCCAAATTATTTCTCTTTCCCCCATAGGAGTCCAGAGCAGTTTACAAGAGAATAGTTATCAAAATAGTGTTAAATAAAACTGGCAAGAAAACCACCAGAAATGTGGATTTGCAGATGGCTGTTACTTATAAGTTGGGTTGACAAAATCACAAATGAGGAGGCGATAAGCTGCACGAGAAAGCAAAGGGAAATCATCAAAGCCATTAAAAAGCAAAGTTAGAATATTTTGGACATGTGATGCGACACCCAGAAAAATACGGCATCGTTCACTTAATCCTCCAGGGAAAGATTGAAGGCAAATGAGGTCCAGGCAGAAGAAGAACATCATGACTTCAAAACCTAAGTGATTGGTTTGGACTAAACTCAGCAGCACTTTTTAATGTGTTTGTTGACAAAAATAGGATTGCCAACATGATTACCAACATCCGATGACGGATATGGCAGAAGAAGAAGAAAGCCATCAATGTTTAATGTTAAATACAACCCCCCCCCCCAACAATTCTTTTAAAAAATCAGGAGCAACATAAAGACAGTTTGGTGTACAGGAATGTCCTCATTTTTTTCTAAACGACTCACTTCTCTTGTGGAACAATTCTGTCCCTGGAATGGTTGCCCCTAAGAATGACCTATTCTGCTATTCCTCATGAAACAAACCCATTGGTGGAACTCCGATCAGGCTTCCCCAGTGGTTGGATGTGTTGGGCTATTTCAGTCCCATGTCATTTGGTTCATCCAGTAAAGTAGACCCCCTCTTTGAAGTAGATGGGCAGCTTAGAAATATAAATAAATAAAATAAGCAAAGTACATTAGGAAGTTAGGTCTACCTTTTGCTTCTTTCTGGTCATTCAGATGATTTTTTATGAAACGTTTTTGTCAAACAGCCAGATAATACTTACAAAACAGATTTTGTATGGTAGCAAGTGAAGTTAACTAAAATATTATTGCAGATTTGCTTATTTTTTCTAAAGAGGCTACATGTCCTACTATTGATTACATGCATACTTTATATAGATAATGATGTTGCTGAACTTGACCATACTAAAGTTACTACTAAAGGAAGGAGGATAGGAAGTCCTAACATTTGAACAGCCTTACTCTTATAACGCTACCTGTAGTTGATTGTCAAATTTCAAGCATCCTCTTGTGTTTCAATAGGAAATTCCAAGGTTTGAATTGACCAGATTCTGTCTTTTAAATAGACCTTGAGGAATTGGCTTTTACAAGTGCTGGGTTAGGAAGTGTTGTGCTACTATCAGAATTTAATTATTGTGCTTAGTATGTTAATTTTCAGGTTGCATTCTGTTGCATTGTATTGTGTTGTTTTTATTGTGTACATTACCCAGCGTCTCTTCATTGTGTTGGCAAATTTAAAATATTATAAATAAACAATAACCCATTGCACATTAAAATTATATATTATTAATATTGTATTGTATGAATATATTTCAAATATTTAAGTACTAAGTACATATGTATATATGAGTTACCTAGAAGTTTAAAATTTTGTAGCATGGAACTTGAACCAAGAGTAAATAAAGTCTGTGTTATTGTAAACCTCTTGTGATGATCAAGATAAGATTTGAAAAAACTTCTACTCTTTTTCATTTTGGCTTGCCGCCTCTTGTGCGTGCGCCAGTGGGTGGAGCACCCAGCCAGACTGATCACCTTAAAATTGTGTTTCCCTGAAAATAAGCTCTAGTGCTTATTTTGGAGCCCCAAAAATATAATGCTGGGTCTTATTTTCAGGGAAACACAGTAGAAGCAGCCAAGATAAATACAGGAGAAATGTAGGATCAAAATATTAAAAGGACAGTTGTCTACAGATGGTGTATGCATGTATGTACATATGTATGTATTTTCAGTGGGATTCCCCCCACCCCCGGTATTAAAATGGAAATTTAATACTTTAATTAACCAAATCCTTTATGAGACAATTCACACAAAAAATATTCTCTGAGTTAAAAATTATTTTTAGTGAGTTAATCTTTCAAATGGTTTATTGTCAAATAGAATATATCTATTAAAATAATAGTTTTTTCTTCTACTTCTTTGTTAGCAGCTGTATGGTCAGTTTATACCATAAAGAAATATATAAAGCAGTAGGTTACAGTTTATGTATCAGATTGAAGATTCCCATAACTGATAATGCTCGATGATGAAGATAAGGATAATAATTCTTTGTGATTAATTTTAGGAGAAAATGAAACCCACTATTGATACTTGATACCAAATAGGAAACTGTTTTAAAGATGCTTATATTAAGTAAATTTCATTACACTATTTTTTTCTCTTCAATGATTTTTTTAGTTGATTTGGAACATATGCGGACAGTAAAAATTGATAAACATCTTCAATTTTGCCAGGAAAGTCATTCTAGCAGTCATTTTGTATCAGCAAAGACAGGTGATTCTGTAAGTATTATGAATTATTTTAACAATATTGCTATTGTGCATTTTTGTGACTCTCCAGAGCTGGGTACCAATATTATACATTCAACGTCAACTTTTAAAACTGGTTTGTTAGATATTTAAGATGTTATACTTCTCCAAAGGTGACAATTGAGTATTTTTTTTAAAAAAAATCTTTGTTTTAAAACTTACTCTTTAAGATTTTAAGATTTTAAACAGATCTTTGGATTGTATATGTGTTTATGTGTACAAAAAACAGATATATCACATTGGCATAAGTATTCAGACTCTTCACTCAGTAGTTTATTGAAGCACCTTTGGCAGCTATTACAGCCTTGAGTCTTTTTTGGTATGATGCAACTAGTTTTGCATACTTGGATTGGGGGATTTTCTGCCATTCTTCCCTGCAAATCCTCTCAAGCTTAGTCAGGTTGGATGGCGACAATTGATGGACAGCCATTTTCAGGTCCCTTCAGAGATGTACAATAGGGTTCAAGTCAGGGCTCTGGCTGGGCCACTCTAGGACATTTGCAGAGTTGTCCCTAAGCTACTCTTGTGTTGTCTTGGCTGTGTGTTTAGGATCATTGTTATGCTGGAAAGTGAACCTTCAGCCCAGTCTGAGATTCTGAGCTCCGTAGAACAGGTTTTCATTGAGGCTATCCCTTGCGTCATTCAGTTTTCCCTTAACATCTGATCAGTCTCCCAGTCACCCTTGAAAAAGACCCCAACATCATGATGCTGCCACCACCATGCTTCATTATTGAGATGATTTTGGGGAGGTAATGAGCAATCTTGTTTTCATCAGACCAGAGAATTTTGTTCCTCACAGTCGGAGAGTCCTTCAGGTACTTTTCTGCAAACTCCAAGCGGGCTTTCATGTGTTCTGTACTAAGGAGAGGCTTTCAACTGACCATTCTGCCATAAAGCCCAGATTGGTGGAGGGCTGCAGTGATGGTTGTTCTTCTTGAACTCTGTCCCATCTCTGCGCAGGATCTCTGGAGCTCAGATACTTGATCGCATCTTTTATTAAGGCCCTTTTCCCCTGATTGCTCAGTTTGACCAGGCAACCAGCTCTTGGAAGAGTCCTGGTTGTGCCAAACGTCTTCCGTTTGAGAATTATGGAGGCCAATATGCTCTTAGAAGCCTTTAGTACATCAGAAATTTTATTTTAGCCTTTCCCAGATATGTGCCTTGCAATAATCCTGTCTCTGAGCTCTGCCGGCAGTTTGATTTCATGGTTTTTACTCTGCTACAGTATGCATTGTTAGCTGTGAGATGTTCTATAGAAAAGTGTGTCCAATCAATTTAATGTACTACAGGTGGACTCCAATCAAGATGTAGAAACATGTCAGCAACTATGAAAAGAAATGGGAGGCACCTGAGCTAAATCTCAAATATTGTTGCAAAGGGTCTGAATACTTATGTTAATGGGATATTTCAGGTTTTTTTCCTTTTAATAAATTTGCAAAAATTTCTAAACCTTGGTGTTCACTTTGCCATTATGGGGTACTGACTATAGATTAATGAGAAAAAATGAATTTCAATGGCTGTAGAATTAGCCTTGCAGCATAATAAAATTGACAAAAGTGAAGGGCGTCAGAATACTTTCTGAATACACTCTGTGTGTGTGTGTGTGAGAGAGAGAGAGTGACACACACACACACACACACACACACACAAACTTTTATACTATTTCTTACAATATTAGGCAACACAACAGTAGAGACCTTCAAGGAGGAGCCAACGTCGCGATGATATGGACGTGCGGTCTTAATGCTCTGAGACCGCAGCCAATACTTTTGACACTAGGTGGTCCAATCAGACCTAAACTGTCCTGAAGAGACAGTGAACAGGAAGAATATGTCTTGCTGACCTCAGGGATATCACAAAATCCCTGAAAAAAGCAAGAGAAGTTCTTCAAGCTGGCGACAAAAAATCCAGCCAAGGCTGATGAAGTCAGGGCGGTTCCAAAACGGAAGGATATGGAAAGAGGAAGTGTTTCCAGCTGGTGAGGAACTTTTACTATTTTAAAAAGAGA